TTAGGCGTGTAAGTTAATCACCAAATATCACTATGGATTAATGAAAATGGAACTAAACTTCGTTTATTACTGATAAGAAATGTCACACGTATTTATTCTACAAACTCACAGTATCAAAGTGTAAATTTGTATATTTCGAATTCTTAAGTAATAAGGGAACCATAACACTTTAAGATGGAAAATGATGGGTACCCAAGTCTTTTATGGTGGAGTCAAATCTTACGTGCGAGGTCGGTAGTAACAACAGTGAATGATCCCCCAGGTGCATCCAAGTAGTGGAGTATGTTTCTGCTTTCAATACATCCAATCATCTTCCCCGAATTCTGGTCTTGAAAGTCACAGTAAGAAGAATCAAATGTTAGGTTGCAGTTCAACTCTTGTGATAACTCACTGACCGACAGAAAATCAATGTAAAGTTTGGGAACGTGTAACATATTTTTTAGTACAAGATAGGACTAAGTTTAATTTGTCTTTCCTTGCAATATTATTGAGGGAACCATCTAAAGTGATAATCCTTTTATTACTTGAACATGGAACATGTGTATGAAAATATTTAGAAATATTGGTCATATGATCTGTGACTTGTGAGTATACAATTCAAGAATTTTTAAAGAATTTATCTAAGACGTACCTGAGTTTTTTGTTACATTTATACATGTGGGCCTCTTAAGGTCCTCTAATTGACTCTGTAGTTGTGCAATCTCAGCTTTGAAAGCAGTAAGATTGACATGTGTTTCTTTTTTCTTGTCGGTTGGGCATATGATCCTGTTTGAGAATATTCTTTGAGATAGTTTTGTGTCCCCACTCTTTTTTAGAGGTATTTCGTACATGGGAGTGTGAGCGTATGGATTGAGACGTAACCTGTAGCATCTTTAAATCTAGATTAGGAAGATAAGCTGGACAGTGCTAGGGTTAATGATGGTGGTTGGAATAGTTGTGCCATTGGAGGGTGCGGTTGGCAGTGTGTGGCTGCTCAAGGAGGCCGCTAGAATGAGCACTAGCTAAGCAAAAGCAGTTGATCACCATGTCAGAGTGCAATTCTGGTGCAGAGAGTAGCAAACGGATGCATAAAGGAGCAATGTGAAGAGGAGAAACGCACTGTGCTGGAGTCGACAAATGCACAAAGGAGCGATGCGCAGAGGAGCGACTCACAGACAGATTTTCACCCTGTCAAGAGTGGTGCATAGAGGTGTGCCACGACAGTTAGGTTTGGGCGTGTATGCATAATTGTGGAAATCTTCAAAGGTGGTGGCTAGGGTTGCACATCTAGGCAATGGCAGTTGAGGGTTGCACAAATGGTGGCAACTTCGGTTGCACATATGTGCGTTTGAGGGCGACCGCAGCTGGCTGTGGTTGAGGAGCTGGATCTAGCTATAAAGACGGATCTTGGTGGAGATGACCATTGTGTGATGGTTGGCAGTTGGACTATGATGGCTACCGATGAAGGTTGACTCGCTTTTTAGGGTTTTTTCTTATTTTGGCAATGATTTTTTTTTTAAATAAAAAGTATAACACGTATATTAAATCATTAGCGTTAAGGGAGTGCCAATCATATACAAAATATTTACAAATTTATAAGCATGTCAACAATGATCCCAAAATCTTCCATTCTATTTAAATTATGTCCCAAATTATATACCCAAAATAATGAAACCATGTATCTTTAATTTTAACAATATTTCATTCTATTCCCTTAAAAGCATTATTGTTTTTCTCTTTCCAAATCATCCAAAAAATGGTTGAGGGAATAAGTTGAACAAATCTTTTCTTTGTGGAGATGGCCATTGTGTGATAGTCGGCGGTTGAACTATGATGGCTACCGATGAAGGTTTACTTGCTTTTTAGGGTTTTTTCTTGTTTCGGTAATAATTGTTTTTAAAATAAAAAGTATAATACGTATATGAAATCACCAGCATTAAGGGAGTGCCACCCATGTACAAAATATTTACAAATTTATAAGTATGTCAACAATGATCCCAGAATCTTCCATTCTATCTAAATTATGTCCCAAAATTATATACCCAAAGTAAGGAAACCATCTATTTTTAATTTTAACAATATTTCATTCTATTCCTCAAAAGCGTTATTGTTTCTCCCTTTCCAAATCATCCAAAAAATGGTTGAGGGAATAAGTTGAACAAAACTTTCGTTTACAAATCCCTTCCTAAGCCATCAACTCTCCTTTCACCGATCCAACAATAACCCAATTAATCCCCATGAAACTATATACCATAATCCAAAGATTATATGCCACCAGGCACGAAAGAAAAAGATGGTTGCAAGTCTCAGTCTCGCTTTTGCTTAGATAACACCGTTCATCATGGTTCTCCCTCTTGTCATTAACTTCTCTATTGTCATGATATTTTTCCTACCCGCCTCCTAAGGAAAAAAGTTAATACTAGGTAGAGTCTTCATCTTCCAAATCTGTTTAACCAGAAAGCATGTCTCCCCAACCTTTGCATTACCAACCAAGTGCTTATAAAAGTATTTCATTGAGAAGACACCATTTTTTTTCAAATTCTAACAAATTGATCACTATTGTCATTAGAACTGACAGTGACCAGGAGTTGTAACATTGCTTCATATTCATCTACCTCCCAATCATTGAGATTTCTAGTCACATCCATAGACCACTCCCTTCTACCATCTCCTCCTCCAAAAGCCTCCTTAACTAGCAAATTCTTCTTTTGTGCTAAGGCAAAAATCTGCTGATACAGGTTCACAAAACATTCTCCATACCAATCATCTTGCCACAACGAACCATGTTGCCTCTTCCGACCTTCCACTTGGTGCATTCATACACACTATGTCGTCTCATCATAATACTCTTCCATAAATCCACTCCATATGGTCTATGCTCATCTTTGAGAGAGCCTTCCCCACCCAAACCTCCCTATTATTTCGGCAATGGTAGCGAATAAGATTTGAATGAAGTTTAGTTTTTTGACTTAGAGCTTTGATAACATGTTAAAAATAGTTTAATGTGTATTTTATTGAATATTACAGTTATATATATATATACATGTTTTTTATAACAAAAAATAAAACGAACAATTAATTATTATTAATTACATATGATATAATTTACCCTTATACTTTTTAACCTAATTTATTATTTTTTTAACAAAGATAAAAAATAAATATAAATAAAGATGAGTTTGGACAAAATTAGGGTGTTACCGGGTGAATTTGCACTAGTAGTCTCTAGTTTTTAAATGTCATTCTCTCTCTCATTTTGTCAAATTTGCTGGCTTGATATTAGAAAAAAACTTGCTTTTTCTTTCTAATGTTTCTGAAGATTGATATTGATTCAGGTTGTGATGTCCTTTCATGAATGTGGTGGCAATGTTGGCGATGATGTTTGTATTCCCTTGCCTCATTGGGTAGCAGAAATTGGTCGACATAACCCTGATATATTTTTCACTGATAAAGAGGGAAGGCGAAACCCTGAATGTCTTTCATGGGGGATTGACAAGGAACGAGTTTTAAGGGGTCGAACTGCTCTTGAGGTATCACATTTTGATATGACCATCTGGCACTATGCATGTGATATTTAAATTTCTGTATGACCATTGCTAAAATTGTATGTGCATGTATTGATAAGAAGAATTATATATTAGAATGAAGGAGAAGAAGAGTACAAAAAAGGAAGATGATATATTCTCCTACTAAAGCAAGAAAGAAGACAAATAAAGAGAATCTTTCAATAAAAAAGGCAAAGCAAAGCAAGAGAACACCGATCTGTCTCAGAAAAGCTTAGAGGTTAAAAATAATTTTTGAGAATTTGGGATTGATAAACCTACTAAAGAAAGAACACTGTAACCATATATAAATTATGCAATTCTGGATCTTAAATATACATTCTTATGTAGGAAATCAGTTTACGAAATTAGATCTGGAAAAAGCTAAATATTGCTAAACTATGAACCGGATTAGCAGTGATTTGTTCATTATATCCGGATATTGGAGTACAAACTTTTGAACTCTATCAAAAACAATAATTGGCTGTTTTCCTATTTATTATGCTAACGGTGTCAAACATAAACTTACTGGTATTTTGGTGGGTCGATGTAGGTATACTTTGACTACATGAGAAGCTTCCGGATAGAGTTTGATGATCTCTTTGAGGACGGTATCATCTCCATGATTGAAGTTGGACTAGGCCCCTGTGGGGAGTTGCGTTTTCCTTCCTGTCCTGTGAAGCATGGTTGGAGATATCCTGGTATTGGAGAATTTCAGGTATCTTGCTTTGTGATTAAAATCAATTTCCTGAGTAATGCAAGTCTGCCTTTATTTAGCTGCTTTAGGAAAGGCTTTCTGGGTGCTAACCTCCTTGGCAGACTTCCTATAAAAAAGAAGCCCCTTAGGTAGAATAAAGTGTAGTTGCTGTTTTAGAGACTCCCTGATTTTTAAGTTTTACATGACCCAAGATTGAAAGTCTTTCTTTTTTAAACTGAAGAATGAGATGTAAGCTGTGGTTAACAGCAATTCATTAATGTTGCTCCAAATTTTGTGTGATCAGTCATTCTCTAACCTTCTTACTTCACGTTTGGGAGGGGATTTTCTTTTTTTAATCCTCCTAACCTGATTGCCAATTATAACTTGTCGAGAAAGGTCTCTGTAAACTCTCCCTGCTACTGATCATTACCTTTTAAACGGCAGTGCTATGATCAGTATTTACTGAAGAGCTTGAGGAAGGCAGCAGAAGCAAGGGGACACTCTTTTTGGGCTAGGGGACCAGAAAATGCTGGTTCTTATAATTCTCAGCCACATGAAACGGGTTTCTTTTGTGATGGAGGTGATTATGATGGATATTATGGTAGGTTCTTTCTTAATTGGTACTCCCAGCTTTTAGTCAGTCATGGTGATCGGGTACTCTCTCTGGCAAAGTTAGCATTTGAAGGCACCTGCATTGCTGCAAAAGTAAGCCAGCCATAAACATATGCTTTTATGTTACATTTTTATTTTGAATAGGATATGCTTTTACATTACATGAAAAGTACATTTCCTTTGGAGTTTTGATATTAAGGTTTCAGTCAGATATTGTATCTTTTTTATTGTTCAATGCCTGCAGCGTCAATCTCAAGCTTCATTGCCAAATTATGTGGCCGAATACCAGACCTTTATAAAACCTCCAATCAGTGATAAGCCCCTGAGTTCAAATATCAATTTATGAATTTTTTAGATGACACAAACATGTGAAAAGAATGGACTGAAATTAATTAGTCAGCTGAAAGAAATAGAAAGGCTTCGCAGATGCTTGGCCTTAATATCAATATTAGTTAACCTGTTGATTTCATGCTTTGATAATGGCGTCACCTAAAGAATTCAATGGAAGGTCGTGATCAACGACTAGAATGCATAAGTAGCATTTGGTTGCTAGTTTTAACTTGGATGGCACAAGACATGACGAAACTATATTAGCCAGTCCTATCTATATTGATTCAGAATATGACTGAATAGATCTGCCCTTATTCCTAATAAAACTATGGCATAAAAGTTGTGCCATGGTACGAAAGGAAAAATTATGCTTTCTTAAAAATCCATCTATGCCTCTTATCAGTCCCAGCTACAACCCTGCAAGATACATGGTCCTGAAACGACCAGACTTGAATAAAAATCCCAGTTCAAGCAGGAGCAACTTGAGGCACATTTAAAATCACTTTTCAAGTGAAATTAGATGGATTTGTGGGCTTTCTTTTGGGAGGCGCTGATAACAGAATAGTAATTTGAAGCTATGTTGCATGTATCTTTACTACATGGCTAAACACAAGTGTGTTTAAATTGCTTATGTATTCCTGATTTCAAATTAGTTTTAATATTTTACGTTTTATGGTATTTTAATTGCTGAGCAGCTATCAGGTATTTATTGGTGGTACAAAACAGCCAGTCATGCTGCTGAATTAACTGCTGGGTTTTACAACCCATGTAACCGCGATGGTTATGCTGCAATCATGGCAATGCTAAAGAAGCATGGAGCTGCTTTGAATTTTGCGTGTGCAGAATTGCATATATTAAACCAGCATGAGGATTTGGCAGGGGCACTAGCAGATCCTGATGGGTTGACATGGCAGGTAGAATCAATTTATCAATTTTGGTATGCCATCAAAAAAATTTAATATTTAAGTGAGAAGATTATATACTATAGCATGCAAGGAAATGTCCTTTCACAGTCCATCAAAATACATTGAACTTTCCATCTTGATATTTGGCTCTTTAATTTCCCATTTCAGGTACTGAATGCTGCATGGGATGTAAACGTACCAATTACAACCGAGAACGCTCTTCCTTGCTATGGTAGAATTGAGTATAATAAGATACTGGATAATGCCAAGCCACTTAATGATCCAGATGGAAGACATCTTTCATCTCTTATATACCTTAGGCTCAGCACAACTCTCATGGACCGACAAAACTTCATGGAATTTGAACATTTTGTCAAGAAAATGCATGGTAAAGCCCTGGAATTTATGCAGTTTACTTTTAAACTTTGCTTTTGCTTTTGCTTTTAAAGTGCAATGCCTATCCAAGAGCAGTGGTATTCGCTTGATAAACATTTTGAAGCAATAGATATTATTAACGGTTTGGAGAAGCGTGCCTAGGTTTGAGAGAATCTGTACAGACATAGGCCGAGCGTCTCTATATGGCCAACGTTTTTTCTCTTTATTGTTTGCATCCCACAGCGAGTGGCAAGGAGGCCATAATGCTTTTCTAGACTAGAAAATTTTTTGCCATAAAAAAAAAAACTTCTAATGTCGTTTTTGCATGGAAGAAAGCGGAAGGCATTCGGGTGAATGAAAATGTGAGGGGATTTAGGTCGACCATCACTTTCTGGGAGGATGAAGAGTGACTGTTGGTGTCCTACAGGAGTTTTATTGACAAGAGGAAAGAAATTCTAGGGGCAGAATATGGCGGGTAGAAACCATAATATCTTGGTGGCTATGGGGCAATAACCGGGGCAAGTTTTTGGTCATTACAGAGAAGAAAATGGAGGAATCAAGGCGCATCTTTATTACGGAGGATTCACTCGCCGAAGGGTGGTGGAGGATGATGGTGGCGCTGTTCGAAATGTTGGGGAGGAAGTTTGAGGTTCTTGGGCAACCAAAGATGCTGAAATCGAGCACCCATAAAGAGGAGCATTGCGTGTCAGTGGTTCATAATACCATTCCTAGCATGCTGTGATACCCAAGCTGTAAGGTGGAGCTGATCGTAAGATTGGAGATGAAAGGAGAGAGGAGCTTTGCTATTGTGGTGATGAGAATAAGAGAGGGAAGTTTGATAAGATAGAAGAGATTCAACTTCAAGATGGGCAGTTGATATTTAAAT